CTCAAGCTCTTCTTTCTTTAGTCCTTGTACTGATGAAGTATAATGTCCATATCTCAGTCCTCCACCAAAATAAGGATTGCCACCAATAACATCATTGCACTGAATCCAAAATTTAAGTAGATCAGTCACAGTAATAATTTGAATTTGGCATAGGTTTTGTTGATCATTTGACTTTTTGGGACATGTCTTGGCTTTGTGAAGAATGTGTATAAAAAGGGAAATAGTATTGTTAACTAAAATCTTTGCATTTTTTGAATCATTCAACCTGTCTTTAAAACTATCAAGAAGGCAATAAGCAGCACTAGATATGCAAGAAAGTTCATCAATACTAAAAATGATACCATAAATTCAAATATTTGTATCTTACTACTATGCTATACCTGGTTATTTCTGTCTCAAAAAGTCTGAACATAATGCAAGCTAGTGGCTTTTTGAAACAAAATTCCATCTAGAGTGTACATATAACACAGAGCATGCTTAAATTGAAAATACATGGCAATAATTACTTTATGATCAGAAATTGATGACAGCCGCAAATTATGAGTTTCTGAATGTAAATTGAGTCTCTCGATAAGCCAAACAATCGCTAAATGAAGAGGGAGTATGTCACATAGTAGACTTGTTTCTTTTCGAGGACAAATATAGGGTACTAACATCAAGAGGTGCGAATCAAATTGAAATAATCTCTGAATGTCTCCAGTATTTTTCTCAATAAATCTAAGAAATAATCTAAAATTGTGTCATCATTCAACTATTTTCAAATACCTTATATCATTCAAAGTATGCTTTAGTTTTGATAATAATAACAAAGGATTGTCCCACTTTATTTCATTTAGCGAGGAAATTTTTAATTGCTGATAAGGCTCAGAGGAATCAAATAAGAAATTATAAAGTGGCAATGCTTTGATGATGATGATTGCAAATTCTGGTTTTCCAGATTCAATAAGAGCACTTAGATAATAAAGAACAGCATCAGTAATATAATTCCTAATAAAAAAGGCATAATGTTTTGTTAATTAATTTCAAAACTAACTTCGCTTCTGGTGTTGTAATCATGCTTCTCAAAAAATTCAGCTCCTTCTGTCCATTATCTACAGTCAAACTCATCACTTGCAATAAACTCAATTTCATGTCTGGTGTGATTTCAAAAGGATGTACTTTTATTAAATTCCTTAGACAACAGGCAATTATTACACCAGAAACAACTCGATTATGGGATTCAAGTGTGTCTGATGTAAGCAGCTCCAATGCAATGCATTCAAACCACTCCTTGACATACTATGTTAAATAAAACTTAAGTCTTGATCACTGTTAAAATTATAGAAACTTACTGGGCTAACTTCCTCCACGAGCCATTTATAACATGGATTATAGCTGGAATCAACCCACTGTACATACATACACTTAAACAATGCTACACATCCATCTATTGCTCTCTGAATGTTATATTCTGAGCCAAATTTTCCCTCAATAAGAATATTCTTTATGGGTTGCAAGTGAATATCCATACACTGAGACCTCATTACAGCAGGGGTAGGAACAGTAATTGTATCTTCAGATTCTGACTTCCACATATAATCCCAAACCTTCCTGACAACATTCCTAGAAGTTCGTGCCTTAACTTGAGGAAGGATCATCGTGTCAAACTGCCTATAATAGCCTAAAAAGAATTATAATAATAAAAAGCAAAAAATTCTGTACCTTCTTCTTTTAATTTCTCTTGAGGAACTTTTAATACTCGATTCTTACGAGGATTCTCATTAGGAGCCCCATGTAAGTATTCAAACTGATGGCCAACTTTTCTCACTTTAGGGGAATACACTACATATTTGTACGGTAAACCATTCTTTAGATGCTCCTTAAAAAACTGACAGTCAACATTCATAGTATACCTGAGAGCAT